CCCCTCCTTTAAAACCATATTTACTCCATTTCCTTATAACTCTGTTTACGAAATCCTCCTTTTTATATTAACCAGATTCATGTCAATCTCATATGTTTGAACCAATGCAATTGGGGCTGTGCCTTGAAGGAAAGCATTCTCTTTCTGCTTCTCCTTCAATAGGAATCTTAGTAATTTACCCAACACAAGAATTCAAAGACAGGGAAGCCTTTGCTGCACTGTAGAATCAATGCAGTTTGATACCACATTCACTGCCATGCTTTAGTGCTATGGAATCATGGGAGTTGTAGTTTGACAAGGTCTTTAGCCTCCTCTGCTTCACAAATCCCGCAATTCTATGGCATTGGTGTCAAACTGCAATAATTCTACAGTATAGATGCACCCAAAGGAAAATAAAGTAGCCTAAGATTTCATAGACTTGAGTCTCCATCAAAGTATATCTGATGCATAGATTACTACTGTTCAGGCATGCATTTGTTTCATCTCCTGTAAGGGGAGCTGTTTCCCAACCCAAGTTTCCGTAGTGTAGTGGTTATCACGTTCGCCTAACACGCGAAAGGTCCCCGGTTCGAAACCGGGCGGAAACAGCTTTTTTGTTTACTCTTATTCTGTCTTTATTGCTTTCCTCTTTGTTTAATGACTCCATCTACACTGAGGAATGAATGCAGCTCGACACCATTTCAACTGGTGCCATGGCTCAATGCGATGGCATCAATAGTTTGGTGAGGAACCAACACTCTGTGGCAGAGAAGGCTCAAGACTTTGGAAAAGGGCAACTCCCAGGATTCCATGGCATTGAAAGAGGTATCAAAGTGCGTTAAGTCTATAGTGTAGATGCACTAACATAAGGGGAAGGGAGGGATTAAAAGTTGGGGAGGGGGCACACCTTGCTGCCTAGACAGCTCTTTACAGAGTTGGGTGCTTTCTATCTGGAAATCTTCAGAGATCCAAAAAGTTACTAGCTATCTTCCTATCTATCTATCTTCCTATCTATCTATCTATCTCTATCTTTATCTCTATCTATCTATCTCTATCTCTCATCTATCTATCTCTCTATCTATCCTATCTCTATCTATCTATCATATCTATCTCTATCTCTATATGCTACCTCTCTATTCCGCTTTGGTTAGACCACACCTGGAATATTGTGTCCAGTTCTGGGCACCACAATTCAAGAGAGATATTGACAAGCTGGAATGTGTCCAGAGGAGGGTGACTAAAATGATCAAGGGTCTGGAGAACAAGCCCTATGAGGAGCGGCTTAAGGAGCTGGGCATGTTTAGCCTGCAGAAGAGAAGGCTGAGAGGAGATATGATAGCCATGTATAAATATGTGAGAGGAAGCACAGGGAGGAGGGAGCAAGCTTGTTTTCTGCTTCCCTGGAGACTAGGACGCGGAACAATGGCTTCAAACTACAAGAAAGGAGATTCCATCTGAACATGAGGAAGAACTTCCTGACTGTGAGAGCCGTTCAGCAGTGGAACTCTCTGCCCTGGAGTGTGGTGGAGGCTCCTTCTTTGGAGGCTTTTAAACAGAGGCTGGATGGCCATCTGTCAGGGGTGATTTGAATGCAATATTCCTGCTTCTTGGCAGGGGGTTGGACTGGATGGCCCATGAGGTCTTTTCCAACTCTGATTCTATGATTCATGGAGCTTGAAGCTTTTTATTATATCTATGTATATATCTATTTCTATATTTCATATATATTATATTATATATATATATATAATATATATATACACACACACACACACACACACACACACACACATACATACATACATACACAGAGTAGCGAATATAGGAAATCAATGACCTGACAATGGAATTGAACAATGCTTGAGAATAATGAGACGCTGATGATGTTGTTTTTATTGCTTTTGTGATGTCTTATACTGTTTAATGTTTTTTATCTATATTATGTTTTATGTATACTGATTTGTTGGAAACCGCCTTGCAGTCGCCAATTGGCTGAGAAAGGCGGTATACAAATACAGTAAATAAATAAATAAATCTAGATATATCTATTTCTATCTCTATCTCTATCTCTATCTATCTATCTATCTATCTATCTATCTATCTATCTATCTATCTATCTATGACACACACACATATACACACACGCACACAGGTAATTTTGGACTTCTGAAAAAAAATATAGACACACATACACACATACATATATACATTCACCCAGGTAATATATGAGAGAGAGATGGTGTTATATCAGTGTGTCTCAACCTTCCTAATGCCGTGATCCCTTAATACAGTTCCTCATGTTGTGGTGACCCCCAACCATAATATTTTCATTGCTACTTCATAACTGTAATTTTGCTACTGTTATGAATCATAATGTAAATATTGGATATGCAGGATGTATTTTCATTCACTGGACCAAATTTGGCACAAATACCAGATACTGGAGGGGTTTGAGGGGACTGACTCACCATAGTGGAAGCTGTAGTTTACCCTGCAGCCAGAGAGCACACTGAGCCCAAGTTTGAATACTGGTGGGGTTGGGAGTGGATTGATTTTGTCATTTGAGAGCTGTAGTTGCTGGGATTTATGGTTCACCTACAATCAAAGAGAATTCTGAACTCTACCAACTCCGGGGTGGGGGGGTTGTATGCTGTCACTCAATTTTCCATGCCGAGGAGCTTTCCCCCAATCTATGTCCTTACCTCCCTGCTAAAAGCGGTACCTATTCTACCTGCTCACATTTCTGCTTTTGACCTGCTAGGTGGGCAGGTGAGCTGGGACTAACGGTGGGTGCTTGAACTGTTGACCTTCCAATCAACAGGATTTTTCTGCAGCACAGTGGTGTAACTATGATGTATAGTTCACCTGCAATTTAAGCACTCTGTGTTCAGCAGAGTGCTCTTAGATTGCAGGTGAACTATACATCACTGTACTTACAACTCCTATAAATCATGGTGAATTCTCCCCAAGCCTCTCTAGTATGTTCAGTTGCTGATCAATTCCTCTGTTTGCTAGGTGCCATAGAAAAGAATAGGAAAGGGTTATGGGAGAGGCAATGGCTGGGGTCATGCAAATTCCACACCAATGGAGAGAGTCAGAAACACTGGGATGTCTGTGGTGGAGGAAACACACAAAATCTAGGATGAAATTGTCCCCATATGAAAGCCTTCACTTGGGTGGTGGGCAGTATGGTGCTTGGGGAAGATATTGGAAGGGCTCTTGTTCACAGTGCTTACTATAACCTGCAATGTCATTGGCCATTGGTGTTTCCTGAGTAGTGGGAGTTACAGCTGTTTGTGGAGGCAGGAGGTAGTCTGTGTAACCACATACATATGGTATTTTCACTTTTACTATGTGAATTATTGGGTTGTAGTGTAACTTATTTGCTAGGCACTTTGGGGATATCATGACTTCTATCCACCTTAAACGACATTTTGAAAAATGAGTGAATTGGGTAGTCTGTTATTTGTACCTTGACTTTCCGATTCTTGTTGTCTGGTGGACTTGGAGATGTCACGCTGACCTGTTACATTTCATGGCTTCTTAGAGCTAATACAGAGAGGATAAACTGCCGGGTTCAAGGCATCTTTTCATAAATACAGTATCTCTCTTTATGGATAGTCTCCAGCAATGAGATTTTTTTAAAAGCAGCTGTTATCCTTCCTGGAGGATTGATTCAAGCAGGGAATATAAATAAAGGTGCTTCAGTCTGATGGCACTTGTCTCGATGGACTCTGCAGTAGTTCAATGTTATGCAATATTTACATAGAGTTCATGGTGAAGGTTTGGGAATTAGATATTGTCAATATACTAACAGCAGGCTATCTTTGCCACCTGAGTCAGGAGAAGTGCTGCAACAGTATTTGGGAACAGTAAAAGACTGGGTGAAATTCAATCCTGACATGCCAGAGGCACTGTTGGTAGATCACTGCTCTATCCTGAGAGGCAAATATTAGGGAGAGGAATTTTACTCTCCATCGACTTCATGAAGTCAGTCCAAGCATGCTATTAAATTATGTGAATCATTAAAGGTCAAATCACAGTAGTGACACAATTGATATCAGCTGAAATGGCTGTTTCTTGAAATCTTTCTTCAAATAAGGGAAGTCTGCCTACATCTAAGCCCATGATACTCAAAATGATGGAACAAGGAGAGGTGCCAGTCTGTATGCCATTAGTTGTCTGTCTCCAGTACAGAAAGGAACAGGTAATTATACTGTATCTGTATATCCTACTGGTTTATAGCCATCAGTGGGAAAATCCTGCATCAGATAGCTTAAAGATAATTGTTCTAAACTACATCACTGAAATATATTGTTATTTATTTAAAGTATTTATACCCTGCCCTTCTCAACCTGAAGGGGACTCAGAGGGGCTTACAGAACACACATTCAGCAAACATTCAATGCCAATTATACAATTAACAAGGACAGACAACAGAGGTAAAGGCAATTTTCCCATCTTATTTCTGGCATCTTGGAGGATGTGCTCGACTCCAACCACAAGAGGTGCTGTTGTTCTATCTTCCATGCTGAGGAGCTTTCCTCCAATCAATGTTCTTTTTAAGGGTGCCTTTATTACCTCCCTGCTTTAAAGCAGTACCTATTTTATCTACTTGCATTCCTTTCAACCTGCTAGGTAGACAGGTGAGCTAGGGCTAATAGTAGGTGTTCACCCTGCCCGGGATCAAACTGCTGACCTTCCGATTGGCAGGATTTTTCTGCAGCACTGTGGTTTAGCCAGGCCCCAAATGTAGGGTCGTTGCTGAACTTGATCTCAAAACTACAGATAGCTCACATTTGATAGTGTTTTTTGGGAATCTTACTCCCACTCTACTCCCTCTGAAGCATGAAAAGGACAGCAAACCAGAAAGATGCAGAATTAAGGTGTGAACTCACAATGGCTGGTATCCAGTTAGTGGCACACAAAGGTGTGATTATCTATATGTGTGCCTATTTTGTGCTCACTGTAGAGCAGGCTTGTCCAACCTTGGGCCCCCCAAAAAATCATAAACTTTTAGATTTCTTTTTAAGAATTTTATTGTACTTTTCAAGTGCAAACTTTGTAGGCAACAAAATGTAATAAAATAATCACAGTATATTACATCTACAAATATCAGAGCATTATCAGTAATCTGGATTATAATTGCAAACAGTTCTGACAAAAGACTTACTCGACAATTTTAAAAGACCTCTGAATGGGGCAGCAAATACAGGATTATGAGAGGATTATTTTTGCTTGTCTGTGATATCATGTAAACTATCCATGGACTTTTTTTCCTCATTGGTTATCATTAGGGCTGGGTGGTGTCAACGGTGTGAGAAGTCTCATAATAAAATAGGAAGTAAAAACTGGTGTATGGTCCTACCCTTTTCCTTTCCCTGGAAAGAAAGCACTTTCACCAGTCTCACCACAACCTGCCCTGCTCTGCCTTACAGTAATAACAGGAATTTGCTGCTCGACCAGGCAAGAAACCTGCCTTGGAAGATAGTGGTTTGAGCACCAGGCAACAGCTCTGAAGACCAGGGTTCGAATCCCTGCTCAGCCATGGTAATAAACCAGGTGACCTTGAGCAAGCCACACTCTCAGCCTCAGAGGGACTATGGTAAACACCCGCTGAATGAATCTCAAGAAAAACTTGGATGTTTGCCTTAGCTTTCTCATAAGTCAAGGAACAGCTTGAAGGGATGCAACAACCAGGCATAATGATCTGAGAAAACCAGAGCACTATAACTGCCTCCTTTTATGAACCCATGAGGCAAAAGGAGCAACCAAATATATCAGCTGCAAACTTACTATTAGGGTCCCTTCTTGTTCTTCTTTCCCTCGACAGTCCACCTTTCACTAGCACACCTCCTTGCATTCCCTTCACCCCATTCCCTTCCTGCCTCTCTAGCCAACAATGCACTGCCTTCATGTTTGCATCAGAGCCATCCTTGCATTTAATAAAAATATTTTTTTTAAATCAGAGCCATCTTAGTTGGAATGTCACTTCCTCAAGTCATTTCTGACTTATAGTGACTCTAAGGTGAACCTATCATGGGTTTTTTTTTCTGGGGCTGAGACTCTGTGACTTCCCCAAGGCCTCCTAGTAGGTTTTAATAGCTGAGAGAAAAATCAACCTGGTTTCCAGTCTTTGTCTGATGCCCAACCACTAAACTATGCTGGCTCTCAACTGCATGCATTTAAAACCTATTGGCTAGGCCAATGTACAAAATATGTTAGTTCTGACAGCATACCAACCTGAAATAATTGAGCTTTTGTATGTGTGCTAGCTTATATCTTTTTACAGTTCAACATTCTGTACTTTGATTTAAGTGATCTTGAAATGATAATTGATAATTGAAATGATAAATGATAATTGTCTTTAATGTCTTTTAATTCTGGCATTTCAGAATTTCATACTTTGTCAATTATATTTGAAACAGGATTAAAATTCAACTTTCCCTCTCTCCCATCTAAGACCCAATTCATCACACAAGAAAAATACATTTACTCACAAAAATGTGTTCACAGATGAAGAAAGAAACATTTACCCATAAAAATGTTTCACTGGTTGAGAACCAGTTTTATCCGCAGTTACAACTGCGTTTTATGAATTTTAATATTTTATTATGTGCTTTTATATTTGTGGGAGATTGTAACTTTATGTTATTATTCATTTTTAGGTTTATGTACTGTTCATTGTATATGCAACATTCCGAAGTGCTTTGTGAGCCACTCCAAGTCCCTTCGGAGAGATGATGGTGGGGGTACAAATAACATTTATTATTATTATTTCACATATTAATGTTAAACCATGTGCAAATTTGCTCAAAAATGTCAATGTTTGCTTTCAAAGCCAACTCATAAAAACATGTCCAATTGTTAAAACACAATTTACCAAGCTAATAGAGTTTCGTCAAAATTATTCAAGTCTTCAGCATCAGCCATTATTGAATTCAACATGGAACCAGGGAAAAGATCATCCAGAAAATCTTGTTTTTCAGGATTGTCAAAGTCAAGTTTCTTCAGAGGTGACCTGACTGCTAACAAGTCTGCGTGATCCTCACCTTCATTTTGCTTTTCTGGATTGTAATAGTTGTGGTCATGACTTATAATCTCATTAGGGTTCTCATTCAATATGGAAGAAGTTGGACTGCTGCCCCCCATTTCCAGGTATCTACATTCTTCTTCATGCGGAAGCTCCAAGGACGCAATAGTTGTGGCTGGAGACAGCAGCTCAGATAAAATGTCATCGTAACTTGAACTGCTGCACTGTGACACAGTGGTGGTTGGAGAATTCATCGATTTACTATCTTCAACATCAATCTGGTGTTGCAGATCCCTTAACAGTCTCTGCAGGGAATCCCCTTCTTTCTGGGATCCAGGTTGTGACTGGTTCTTCTCTGTTTTCTTGGAAGATCTTTTCTTTCTAACTCGAGCTTTTGCTAGTTTGTCTAGAGAAGCCAGTTTTGCCTTTTTAGCTTTAAGCTGCTGAAGAAGTTCAAGGCGGAGTTGTTGTGTCTGATCAACACCTGACTTGCCATTTTCGAGAGATGGAGAGTTTTTATTTTCATTGTTATTTAGATTGGGCTGAATTTGCTTATTCAAAGTCACCCAAGAGCCTGGTTTGTTAGTTACAGTTCGTTCACTTGCAACAGCAGCATGCTTTTTAATAGTGGGATGGGAAAGAGAAGTTGCAGAAGGTCGGAGCAGATTCTTAGGTGGGGAATCCTTCCTGACCAGTTTTCTTGAAGACTTTGCTTCAAAGCCATGGAAGTGAAGGGCATGCCTGCCAGATAAAGGAGTTTCTTTTTGAGAGGGCTTTTCCTCGTTTATAAAAGCTGAAGCACTTTTAGGAACAGAAGGAGATTTTCCAAGCAAAGTCTTCACCCAACTGACTGATTTCATTCCATTCTTAGGTTGTGACTGAGAGGAATTACTTGAAGCAGGAACATGGCAATCTCCTGTGATTTCTCTTTTGTTCTCCAACGTATTAGGTGCTCTCTGGCAAGTTTTCTTGGATTTTGTTTTACTGGCTTCATTTTTGGCATTCGCCAAGCTGCTATCTTTAACAGGAACTAGGTTGGCTTCAGGTTCTGCCTCCTGAACTGCTAATGCTTGTAAGTTATTGCCAGTGCTTAGAAGAACTGTTGGCATAATAAATAGGTTACTTGCGTTGCCTGGCTGTTCTTGATGCAAGGGAACAGTCCTGTGCTCAGACAGAATGCTCTCATTATGAGAAATGTTTTCTTCAGAAGTAAGTGGAAGCGTATTAATCTGACCTACATCTTGCAGCTGTGGTGTTCCTGCATTGGCTAACAGGTTATTTTGCACTATATGTTTTTCTTCTAGTGGTTTACCTTCTGAGTCAAGTGGGACGCTTATAAGATTCAATGTTATAACATCATTGTCGGTCAGATTCTCAAAACCCCAAAGCAAATTGCTTTGGTTATTGCCATCTAAGGTTTGCATCTTATTTATATTTGCATCCAGACTATCCTCACGATCACTAATGAAAGAATGATTTTCAAGATGCTTGTTAAGATTTTTCACTGGTGATTTTGGGTCTCCCTTTAAAAGGGGAATTCTCGTGGATTGTTGACTTTGCAACTGCAAATAGCTATCACTGGTCTTTTGTGGCGCCGGTCTCTCCCAGATGACAATGTGAATCTCCTCTGGAGGAACTGTAAAGCTCTTGTGTCTTCTACAGTACGAGCCCTTTAAGTCATCACATTCAAGCCATGTTTCTGAAAAGACAGAAAAAGTTCAGAATCTTATAATGTGTAGTTCATTATCAATAGCTCTATAGAGATGTATTTATTTTATTTATTTACCCTATTTATACCCCGCCTTTCTCAACCCCATAGGGGACTCAAGGTAGATAGCATATATAGGCAATGATTCAATGCCATGTAAACATACATTTATAATAATAGAATCATAGAGTTGTAAGAGACCTTGTGGGCCATCCAGTCCAACCCCCTGCCAAGAAGCAGGAAAATTACATTCAAAGCATAAAATAAACATAGACCGTATATACTCGAGTATAAGCCGACCTGAATATAACCAGAGGCACTTAATTTTACTCGAGTATAACCCAAGGGTGGGAAATGCAGCAGCTGGAGGTTAAATTCAAAATAAAAATAGATACCAATACAATTACATTAATTGAGACATCAATAAGTTAAATGTTTTTGAACATGTACATAAAACTACAATTTTTAAGATAAGACTGCCCAACTCTGATTAAACCATTATTCTAACCTTCTTCAATGTAAATGTGCTTATGTATCCTTCCAATAATATTAAAGAGTAAAATAACAAATGTAATAATAACAGTAATAATAGAGTGAAATAATAAATGTAGTAACAATAATAGAGTAAAATGATAAATGTAATAATGATAATAATAATAAATAGAGTAAAATAATAAATGTAGTAGTAGTAGTAGTAGTAGTAATAATAATAATAATAATAATAATAATAACAGAGTAAAATAATAAACAACTTTGACTCGAGTATAAGCCGAGGGGGACTTTTTCAGCCTAAAAAAGGGCTGAAAAACTAGGCTTCTACTTGAGTATAAACAGTATATCAAAACAATAATTAAAACATATCAACCCTTAAAACAGTTATTAAAATCACATTATCCAAAATCATAATCCATTGCCATTCCAAATTGTCATTGGACTTGTCCATAATTCTCTAGTGGGTTACTAACTGAATGCTTGGTCCCACATCCACGTCTTTAGCCAGGAGTGATTATTATTCTATTCATTTTTGTAGAACGCTTCAGCATTTACAAGCTTTCTAGCTTTATAATCATATTCATAAAAATGAAGAACTTATTTTTTGTTCATCCTGTTTTCCCAGAAATATCTACCTATGGCCCACTAAGAACCTCAAGTATGACAGGGACCATTTTTTATTCCCACATCTCTGCATGAGCTAGCAGGATATTCTGCTATCACATCATTTCAGTCATTATTTTCAGCTGAAAATCCAACTGGAAAAACATTAGGGGCTAGAGAAAGTCAAACCATAATGTTTACCTGTTTTTCAAGTCAGAAACACATGCTGGAATAATAATTGTTATTTTAAAAAAACCCAGAGGGGTTAATTGAGAGCTTGAGGGGCCTCAGCACAAGCTGTACTATCCCCTCCCCAGTCAAACAAGAAAAAAGCACACAGTTGTAGTTGCTGGGATTTATAGTTCACCTACAATCAAAGAGCATTCTGAACCCCACCAACAATAGAATTGGGTCAAACTTCCCACACAGAGCCTCCATGCCTTGAAGGGACTTGCTGGCATGATCCTCCCTCCACCTCACACACTCTCCCTCACCCCACACATATGTATCACGCTGCCATGCGCCGAGCATGCCTGCTCTCCCCACTCCACTTGGAGTCTCAGAAACAGCCCTTCCCTTGGCTGAGAGGCCAGCCAAACACAGAGAAGGAGGGCTTTTGTGGGGAGGATTTGCCACCTGCTTCCAAAAAGGAAGAGAAGGACAGAACTTCAGTCTTCTCTGCCAAAGATGTTCCTAAGACCATCAGAAATATATTTTTTCCAATTGTCTTTGGCAACCCCTCTGGAACCCCCTCATACCCCGCCCCCAGGGGTCCCAACCCCCAGGTTGAGAAACGCTGCATTACAGGGTTCCTACCAGCTAAATCTCCTTTCAGGATACTCAATCTCACTCCTTCTTCTCACTCTACATTCAACTCTGTGCCTAATGAGGATGCCTAGTTCTCAATCCGATCCCTCTTATTGTACTGCTACAAACTTTGGTGTGCTTCCATGCCTCTTGAAATCTCTATCTTGTGACCACAGCAGTCACAGAATGATTTAGCTATTGGGACGAAGGATTGGTTTAATCCTAATTGGTCTCTCTTATTTCTGGGAAGAAAAAAAAAAAAGAGCTACTAGCAAGTACAGGCAGAATACTACTTTTAAAAGAATAAAAATATAACAAAATTCAATGTACTTACCATCAGAATTCAAGACCCACGTTATGAAGTGTTTTTCTGACTTCTGGTATTGAACAACAGCTTTTACTTGGTAGAAATCATTTTGAAATTGAAATGAGTAGGCTGTTAAGTTATTATGTGGCAAACCTTCGACGAAATGCATCATAAGTACCGAGGGGACACTGCCAAAAAACACAATTTTTCACTTTATATGTACAGTTAGAATGTGAAAACCCATGCCACTAACTTCTTTCTATGTATCTCAAAGGTGCTACAAGACTCCTTTGCAAAGTGATACCAAGTTCAAACACTCAGCACTACTAGATGTACTTCACTGCAACTCAGTATTTCCCTCCCTCTTTTAAACACAATTACACTATTGCATTAATGATGTATACTTACTTTTCCAAAACCATTTTTCTTTTTTGAGATTTGTGATTACAGTTATTACAAGGAGCAATATGAACACCATTTAAGGGGTGCCATTCTGGAATTATATTTGTAAAGGTTGTCAACGTTGTCTTACACCTGAAACACAAAAATAGGAACTGATGCACAGTGTTTGCAAACCTACAGCAAAGCAGATTAAAACCAACTGAAGACAGCTGGAATAGCAATTCAAATAAATGGCCTGTATACAGGCTTGGGTTCCATTAAGTTAAGGCTAAAGGATGAAGCCAGTTGCAAGTTCATTCTAAAATCCTTGCAAAGATTAAAATGAGGTTAACTCAAACTTTCATGCAATTCTGGAAAACCTTGTGTTAGGAACTGACAAAGTGGGTAGTTTACGAGCAGATTAATGAATGGGTTGTTGTAGGTTTTTTTGGGCTATATGGCCATGTTCTAGAGGCATTCCCTCCTGATGTTTCGCCTGCATCTATGGCAAGCTTATGAACATAAAAATGGAAAGAAGTCCTAGCATTGCTTTGTTATTATTGTATATTAACAAACAGTTAAAAAGAAGAAGAAAAAGACACAATATCCAACCTATTAATAGTAGCAAGACTGCTTATATCAAGGAACTGAAAAAGGGAAATAAATATACAAATTGAAGAGTGGTATAAGGAATTATGGAAATTGGCAATCTATATAAATAAAAATAATGTATGCTTGTGAGATTAACACAATTCAAAAATCACTGGGTGAATTGACACCAAATTTGGATACAATACACTTTATCAGGCCAGCGAGTGACCATCACTCATAAAAACACTGAAAAACACAACCAAAGGGACTTAAAAAGCCAAAAAAGAAAAAATACATTACAACACATGTGCAAAATCACATATATATACACACAAAACACATCTACACAGATTGGGCCACAGCAACGCATGGCAGGGGATGGCTAGTAAACAATAAGTTAACATGTAAGTTAAAAGAGGAATATGGAAAAATTATTTTGATGAAGCCTGGGGAAAATTTATTGAAAGAGGATTTAAAAAGAAGTATGGAAAATTACCTCCACAAGAGGAAATGAAATTTTGGACAGAGAATATAAAAAGAAGTGGCTAGGAGGAGGGGAGAACAGAAGTGATTGATAGAAGAAAGGGTGAAATTTACAATAGATAAAATGAGATTAATGGGGGGGGGGGGAGTTTAAGCTCTTTGGATATAACATGTCTGCTGTATTATAAACGTACTGATTTATTTAACAAAAATAAAAAAATTATTATCATAACAAAATAATCTCATAATGAATTCTAAGATTCTAAAGAAACCAACCTGTCAAAGACTTGATGGCCACACTGTAAGCATTCAAAATTCCACGAAAAAGAATGGAGAAAGCAATTCTCTATTTTTGAGTCTTTGCGTAGAAGTAGAGGAAAAGCAAAAACTGGACTTTCCTCCTCACCTTTGAATCAAAATGATAAAAAAAATTAACTGAAATCATGACTATTTGTTATTACAATACAAGAAATCATGAAGCACATTATTTGTTGTGCACCGTGTTGAGTCCCCTCAAGGGTGAGAAAAGCAGTATATAAATGCAGTAAATAGATAAATAAGCATTTTTATGCATACATAGCTGAGAATTAGTGGCTCATCAAAGGATTATTCAAGATTCCAAAAAATATTGCCATAGGGCTAGTTCTTAATCTCACATGTATTTACGCCCAGATTCAGATTACAGTAAAAAGTGTATTTGGCATAAAACCATCTAGTGGAAGAGTGGTTTGAAAAGGAAAGTTCTTGCACTAATTCATATGCCCTTCAAAGTATTCATCTGAATCTCTATAAAAAATTAGGATACTCTCAGATTATACATTTTTCCCTACATTAATAAACTAAAATACATGTTAATATTTTTAGTAACTGACAGCACAATAGTATGCATGTTTACTCAATGTTCAACAAATTCCTGCTGTTCACATCCAAATTTATTGGAACTACAAAGTCAATGTGGAGAATTAACTGAAGCATTATTTATGTTACTCTTTCATTAGCATGTGTTTTCATTATAAACAAGAAACGGTTTTTAGAAACAATCATTTAACTACAAAGCTTTTGTTCACAAGTCTACAGATGGTGCAGATATGATGTGAAGCTATTATTTGGTGCTAAGAGAACTAGCCCTCAAGGTGTCTCAGGGTTCAAGTTTTCCAATGCCATCTCCTGCTTCCTTTGAGCACAGAAAACACCCCTATTTTCTTTATTTGCTATTTTGTTCCAATAGCCAACTATAGAATACAACTCTTTTCCAAACTAGGTTCAAATGTGTTCTTCTGCAGGAGAATTGTTGATATATTCGCAAACCTTTAATAGCTCTGTCAAAATTGCAAACCATGGCTTTCCTCAAACCAGCAAAAGAGAGATGAGATACTGGCTGGCTGGGAGTTTTCCGAGCTGTATGGCCATGTTCCAGAAGCATTCTCTTCTGACATTTCACCTACATCTATGGAGGGCATCCTCAGAGGTTTTGAAGTTTGTTGGAAACTAGGCAAGTGGGGTTTATATATCTGTAGAATCTCCAGGGTGGGAAAAAGAACTCTTGTCTGTTTGAGGCAAGTGTGAATACTGCAGTTGGCCACCTTGATTAGCACTGAATAGCATTGCAGCTTCAAAGCTTGGCTGCTTCCTGCCTGGTGGAAATCCTTTGTTGGGAGTTGATCATCTGGCCCTGATTGTTACTCGTCTGGAATTCCTGTTTTTGAGTGTTGTTCTTTATTCCACACATATACAAACCTCACTTGCCTAGTTTCCAAAAAAAATCTCACAACCTCTGAAGATGCCTGCCATAGATGTGGGTGAAACGTCAGGAGAGAATGCTTCTGGAACATGCCATACAGCCCAGAAAACTCACCTCAACCCAGTGATTCTTGCCACGAAAGTCTTCAACAACATAGAGGCTAAGCTGCCCACAGGTTTGTTATTGCTCAGCCAAATAAAGCATCATTGAGTCTCACAGCCCTTAAACTGCCCCTCCTCTGCCTTCTCCTACTATTTGGTACCATCTTTTTATCATTATTTATAATTTATCTTTCTTCCAATATCTGAATAGAAGCTCATAATGAAATGAAAAACAATTCAAACGCACTACAGTACTCAGTACTAACTACTGGGACTTCCCAGAATCAGCTGGTTGGCCACTGTGGAAAGCAGAATGTTAGACTAGATGGACCTTTTGTCTGATTCTGCAGTTTTCTCCTTACAAAACATCTAGGATATACAAAGGCACTTAATCATTGAACCAGAACGTTATATGAAGAAAATGGCAGAGAAAAAAGATTTTTTTTAGCTGATGGGAGACCAAGCTGAAGACGATCAGCAAAAGTAATATATTGACACAAAACTCTAAGAAATGAGTTCCTCTGGGCTCACAGGAAAGGAAAACAATAATTGGGAACAAGTTATATGCATACAGAATGCAGCATGCCATGAAACCTCTAACTTTCTAAGTATATACTTACCCAATTTGCATTTAAGTTGAGGCTGAACCTGGCCAAAAATGATGTTCCTGATTTCATTAAGATGCAATTCAGCTTTTGACATAACCTCTGAAGGAATCTCTGAAATAGCTTCACCTACATGAAACAGTTAGTTGATTAATACACTGTTCTTGAAAGCCTGTCATCTTCTACTATGAATCTAATACTGTATATGTATACATACGATTCTAGAAAAAAAGACTATGGAAGCCCAATAATTTTAATTTCTTAAATATTATAGAATCATTTGTATTGTCAGTGGCTTAGAATTCTATACAGATTATTCAAATTATTTTTAACAACAAAAAAAAACATATACATGACTTACCTCTTTGGCAATTATTCACAAGTGCAATTGCTTGGTTATATTTTGTGAACAGTCTATGGATTACAGATGTACTTTCTGAGCTGGATTCACTGTGGATCTTTTTTAGTGTCTCTAAATGCACAAGTGCCGACAGAATACAATCTAACCAGCAGAGAGCATGCACATTCTGCCACTGAAGCCACAATTGTTCTGGTAGAGATGGTTTGTCTTGAGGCAAAGTCTGAGACAGTGATGAACCGCTTTCAGGAACTGACAAAATCTGTGTTTGCACACTGGACATCCCAGGTAAGTTTTCTGTAGCTGACATTTCCAAGTCCATTTGCATCTCCATGGATTCAGTAGCATTACAAATGTCTGGCTGATGGGTTTCTGAAAAATCAGGTTGCCCCAAGTCGGTCTTAAACAGATGGCTTCCATTGCACTTGGGAATAAGATTAGGAGTCAATGTTTGCTTATTGTCTATCAAGTTATCACTCCTTGTCAATTTTGAATGTGGTTCGACAGAAGGTGTCACAGGGTTTGTGCTGAAAAACTTCCTTTTCCTGTTGGTTCCCTGAGACTGAGAACCTTTTGGATCAATGGGAGTAATAATGTTGCTTAGTGGTTCAAAGCCTAAAGGGTAGATGCACTGGAAAAGAGGGAGAGATTAAGAGACGTAACATAACTAATTTCAGATCCACATAGAGTATTTGAAAAAATCAGATACATTTCAAATTTCTGGAATGAAGTAGAGAATGGAAATTATGATTGAAGATACATATTCAACTGAAGCATAATAGAATCCTGATATGTTTAAAGGGCTTCAAACCCCAGTCAGCCATGAAACCTCTTCTGAATGACTCTTGCCAAGAAAACCCTGTGAAATATTCACTTTAGAGTCAACAATAGATGGAAATGACTTGAGGTACATAACAAAATTATTTTGTGCCTTCAAGTTGCACAACATTTTTGTTGTTCTGTACCTTCAAGTTGTTTCCCATTAATAGACACTCTATAGTGAATCTTTCACATAGTTTTCTTGACAAGACTTATTCAGAGTTTTTTTTCTGTTTGCCTTCTTCAAACTAAGAAATGTGACTTTACAAAGTCACCCAGTAAGTGTTGTCAAAGGCTTTCATGGCTGGAATCACTGGGTTGTTGTGAGTTTTCTGGGCTGTATGGCCATGTTCCAGAAGCATTCTTTCCTGATGTTTTGCCCACATCTATGGCAGGCATCCTCAGAGGTTGTGGGGTCTGTTGGAAACTAGGCAAGTGGTGTTTATATATCTGTGGAATGTCCAGGGTGGGAGAAAAAACTAGTCTGCTTGAGACAAGTGTGAAAGTTGCAACTAGCCACCCTGATTAGCATTTAATGGCCTTGCAGCTTCAAAGCCTGGCTGGTTGCTGCCTGGATGAAATTCTTTGTTGGGAGATGTTAGCTAACACTTGCTTCAAGCAGACAAGAGTTCTTTCTCCCACCCTGGACATTCCACAGATATATAAACCTCACTTGCCTAGTTTCCTCCCAACCTCTGAGAATGCCTGCCATAGATGTGGTTGAAACGGCAGGAGAGAATGCTTCTGGAACATAGCCATACAGCTCAGAAAACTCACAGCAACTCACTCAGTAAGTTTTATGCCCAAGTGTGGATTCAAGATCATGTTCTCCAGAATTGTAACCCAACTCTCAGTTACATTGCTTCCTAAGTCTTCTTCCCTATGTAACATCCAGTTGTCCCCAACAGTTTGCACATTTAGATATATTATTATTGTGTTTTAATAGAAAATGGCTTTCTGACAACTATTTTGTATGCCAAAGAACTCATCAGTTACAAAATGTTATGGCAAGCATTTGGCAATTTATCAGAAGTGGTCAGATAAAGAAATGGCTGAGTGTGGATACTGAACAAATTCCAACACAGCACCCCAAGAAATGGCAAACGTACCTGTGGATTTTCACATAGGAAAATAGATTCCTTAAAATTGATACGATATGTTCTTAAAGACTGTATCAGGCCTTTCTTCCTGCAAACTGGACAGCACTCATCTGGACTTGCTTCAGGACTACAGTCCTGGGATGATGGAAAACAAGCAATAATGATGTTATGCCTGAAAGGTTAAATATTAAAACATGGCAAAACAATGATCATACCAGATAAGTTATTCATATGAGACAAGTGTTAAATCTGACCACAAAGAAACACAGCAATACATCATAGGACTTTTATACTGATTGAACATGCATTCTATTTAAATAAACAAAACAAACTTTATAATCATTCTGGATTCTAAAAGATAACCAACTCACGATGAAAAGTTTTCATAAATATGTTTGTAACGGCTAAAAATATTTAGAAATTGTAAATCTTTCGCCATTTCAGTGAGATTTCCGTGGAAAATCATTTTACGAAAATATTATTGATGCAGTAATTTTATAATATAACAAAATCTGACCAATGGAAATGTAAAGACTCTCTCAAAATTGAGGAGGAAAAAAAAGGAACTTTGCACAATGTGAAAGAGAACTGAACTGACTTTCCCCAAATACCCCACCATGTGGAGTGCAGATGTCCCTATATCAGTCACTTGCAAACCATTTCCAATCTTCTGGTTCTCCATCATTCAGAGGCACTGGCTAAATTTTGTCACTTGAAACATTTTCAATAGTCTTAAGGATTTTTTTCACACACTCTGAAAAATAAGAAATGAATAGAAAAAGTTAAATACATTTTTTTCCAACAGCAACTCTTGAAAACATAGAAATAAGGGGGACATTTTCAGTGAAACAGGAGGAGATAATTCCTATTTGTAAGAAATAGGAAATGCATGAGAACACTCATGTCACCACAAAGATGTAAAGCAACAAACTATGGTTTGTTTTAGTCAAACGGATAAACAACCTCAATGGGTGTTAGAAAGCACTGCTGCTCTCTCACATACAGGAATTACGCCATATATCCAAAAGCAAGGGTGGAGAGAAAATATAAATGTTCCATAGCAGCTCTGGCTCAAACACACAAGACAATATGGTTGCAAGTTTTAAACATAATAGGTAGGCTGCACTGCCAATATACTGGGTCATATATGTTGGACAGAAAACTTTATCTGTGGTGTATGGGCCACTGAGTAAATGCATTATGTATAGAGAAGCAGCACTACCTGAACTCCTAACTAGATGACACTACAACATTTTATGTATTTGCCCCTTCAGTATTAATCACAATGCAGCATTAAGTGAGCAGCAGTAATACTTCTAATTCTGATAAAAACTTGGATTTTTTTCAAACTTTGTTTTCAACCTTTGTTTTAAAAATTAGTATCCTGGTTAGCAAACGTGTGAGAGATACTACAGAATAGTTAATATTGGAGAAGGGTGGAGAATGAACAAACCAAAGGTGAAAAGAATAGGAACAGGTGACCAAACAACGTTGTGGTCCTGAATCCCTAATAGTAGGCAGCTAAGAACTCAACCAACATTGTGTTCAAAAGAACTTTAACTTGTGTTAATAAATTGCTTTTGGAATCTGACCAAGTAAGGTAATTTTAAACAAAAAAAAAACAAAACACCCCTCATATTTTATTTATTCAGTTATTTCACTTATATACCACATCTCTCACCCCTAGGGGGACTCAAAAGAGTTCACAACATAATCAATGGCAAAATTCAATGCCTTACATGTATAAAACAACACATATCAAAACTATTAAAATTATAAAACTATAAAACAGTAGTCACACAATACATAAAACATTTAGGTCTTGCACAATCCCAAGAATATCTTTAACTACTGTAAATAAAAACTTGTATTCTTCAAAGAGATCTGGGGACTTATTTTTATATGTGTATATGCCTGAAAATAGTTTTCATGGCTATGGACATTAGAACCATTAGTGCACTATTTCTTTGCAATGGGATCCTTTGTGCATTATCCCTAATACCTTATTATAATACTAGAGTATCTGGAACTGGAGTTTCTAAAAGGGTTGCAGGGACACAGATATATGGACACAGAAACAGTTATAATGACAGAAATGATACTGACAGATATTGAGTAAAGCTCCAGAGGTGATATAGACACATGTGTGCAGTCATCGGCAGATAGACACTGTTACTTCATGCATGTGGTCAACAGGATGAAGATGAAAACATATTAGATGGAGACAAGCTGCACTGTAAGGCAAAACTATATCACAAGGAGCAAAGCATACTTTTGACTGCCAAAAATTAATGAGACAAAAATAATCCAGTATGAAGGGTTAATCACTTTAACACTGCTATATACCTGTACTGATGTCACAAACAAATCACAGTTCACGTTATTGTTGGTCTGCTGAAGACATTTGAAATATCTGGCAATTAGGATCTTACATACCTTGATGAAGACAGTACAGTACACACAATACTATCAAGTAAGGCAGCACCAACAAAAATTAGTAACACTGATATGGTCTTGCACATAACTTATAACAAATTATAACAGCAAACATGGTCATCTATCTCTGTTTGAGGATGTAATCAGTGTTGCTTTAACATCTGTCAATTAATGGTAATGATTACTTAAAAGTCCAGCTAATTGAATGAGCTGGGAATGTTGGCATCTTTGAGATGTAAATCAGCGGCAATACTAATTAATCAAACTTCAATAATTTTGAATACAAGAATTTTTCTGTGACATGTTTATTAACTGAGGAATTCAAGCAAGAAAGTTTTGTAGAACACTGTTATGACAGTATTGTTCTATACAGACTGTACATGATTCTGACCCAACGAGTACTTTATGAAGTGTACAAACACCATGCACTTCAAAAAAGGGGAAACAAATTGTCATACAGTTCTAAATCATGGGCAAGGTATTTTGATTAAGGTTCATATTTGCTTTGTACACAGCTGGTGTATTGTTCTGCTCTGTTTAAAAATAACTTTTTTTGCTACTGCTTCTAGTCAATTGCTGATTTTTTCTCCTACTCTCTATCTTAATAATTAACAAATATGGTAAATTGTTGATAGAATACTGTTTTTAAATAATAGTGTAAATCTGAACATTAAAACTGCATTTTATGAATTCTTACAATTTTACTAGATGAGGTCTTATGTGTGTTTGTTGTTTATAGAATGATGTGGTGTTTTCTAAACTTATATATTGTTCATTTTATATGCAGTACTCACAGTACTTTTGTGAGCCATCCCAAGTCCCTTCAGGGAGATGGTGGTGAGGTAGAAATATATAATTATTATTAAAAAACATATTAATTTACAAATCCATAGAACAGTCTATATCTTGGACATATGTATAATTTGAGTAATTTACCCCAGAAAACTATTTATTATTAAATATTAATACATAATATATTAATTATCAATGTTGAGTTGCAAATGCTATAAAGTAGGAGAGATAAGTAAAATATTCTTTTCACAACCTCAATAGTGCTTATGCTTAAATCCGATTGTTAGATTTTGATTCAGAAGCCTTTAATCAATGGTATTGGGAACAAAACTGGATTCAGATCAGACATGGGCAAATTTTGGCCCTCCATGTGTTTTGTACTTCAACTCCCACAATTCCTAACAGCCTACTGGCTGTGAGAAGGATCCCTTGGTGGCACAATGGGTTAAACCCTTGTGCCAGAAGGACTGAAGAAAGCTTTCTTTGAAGTGCTACTGGTGTGAATCGCCAGCTCCTCTAAATGGGGACTCTGCCATCCTTTCTCAACCCATCCTCAAAGGTATTCCAATAGTGGTGAGCACTGATAATGTTTGTGGGGATTTAACAGTATTAAAGAAATACTAGAGGTCCTCCCTTTGGCTGGTAATGTGCACTATACTGCTTTGTTCAAATAGTCTTATAAGACTTATGTCAAACTATGATTAAACTGGCATTGTGTTTGAGGATGGCTGTGTTCATTCTAATTTGGGTGGGCCTAGATATTTGCTTCAAAGTCCAGGCTGCCACAAAGTTACCATAACCATTGCATTTCAAGAACATCATAATCATCTTGGTAAATCAAACTTAGATCCAATAGTCCATATTTCTAAGTGTAGCTAAACATATCTGTCCCTAGTTGTTCACAGTAAAGTTAGGGCACTTCTGCGCAGAACTTGGGAAAAAATAGTTTTGGAACTTATTGTATGTAGGAGGTTTGAATTCGGGGGAGAGCGCTGATGAGCTCCCTCTGTCAGCTCCAGCTCGCCATCCAGGGACATGAGAGAAGCCTCCCACAAGGATGGTAAAACATTTTTTTTAAAAACCATCTGGGTGTCCCCCTGGGCAACATCCTTGCAGATGGCCAATTCTCTCACACCAGAAGTGGCAGGACTGAAGACCAACAGGTCGGAGGTTTGAATTCGGGGGAGAGCGCGGATGAGCTCCCTCTGTCAACTCTAGCTCCCGATGCAGGGACATGAGAGAAGCCTCCCACAAGGATGGTAAAACATTTTTTAAAAACCATCTGGGCATCACCTGGGCAGCGTCCTTGCAGATGGCCAATTCTCTCACACCAGAAGCGGCAGGACTGAAGACCAACAGGTCGGAGGTTTGAATTTGGAGGAGAATGCGGATGAGCTCCCTCTGTCAGCTCCAACTCCCCATGCAGGAACATGAGAGAACTTCAGCTCCCACAAGGATGGTAAAACATTTTTTTAAAAAACCATCTGGGTGTCCCTTGGGCAACATCCTTGCGGATGGCCAATTCTCTCACACCAGAAGCGGCAGGACTGAAGACCAACAGGTTGGAAGTTTGAATTCGGAGGAGAGTGTGGATGAGTTCCCTCTGTCAGCTCCAGCTTCCCATGCAGGGACATGAGAGAAGCCTCCCATAAGGATGGTAAAACATTTTTTAAAAACCATCTGGATGGTAAAACATTTTTTAAAAACCATCTGGGCGTCCCCTGGGCAACATCCTTGCAGATGGCCAATTCTCTCACACCAGAAGCGACTTGCAGTTTCTCAAGTCGCTCCTGACACGGAAAAAAAAAAGGCTGAGGAATTGTGGGAGCTGAAGTCCAAAACACCTGGAGGGCCGAAGTTTGTCCGTGCCTGTTTTAGACCATAGCCTCTTAAACTAAACATTACATATTACAAAAATACTTTGCTTTTGCTACTGCAGCATTTCTGACTTTATATACATACCTATATTATGGGCATTGCCTATCTATGAGCATCTGAGTGCTCTGGATAAATATATGTTGGAAAATCCCCATCAGGGAACACAGGATAGCAAAACATAACAGGCCCAAGTTGGCCCAGGCCTGGTGCAGAGACACTCCCACCCCAAACCTTTCGCCCACCTCTTCACTCAAACGCCTCAATGCAGCCTCTCCCGCCTTCTCTCTGCTTAGAAGACTGCAGCCGAATGGCTTAGGCCTTTCCTCACCTGCAGAACCCCAGCAGAGCGCGCGGACAGAGGAAGTGGCTCCAGGTCCAGGTGCCTCCTCGTTTGGAACAAGCACTAACGTTGTGCGCGCGTTCAAGGCAGCGGCTGTGCGCCACTTCCGGCAAGTCCCACCGGAAACCGCTCCCCGCGCAGAAGCGTTCCGGGCTCCCATTTGCTTGTTCTCTTCCTGAGGCGAGGTTTTGTTTGCTATCATATTGCTGTTCTTGTCTCTCCCCCTTCTCTCTCTCTCTTATAGAATCATAGAATCAAAGAGTTGGAAGAGACCTCATGGGCCATCCAGTCCAACCCCCTGCCAAGACGCAGGAATATTGCTTTTCAATTTTATCTATATTTTTTTCATTTGCAATTTGACAACTGTTAACTCTTGAGTTAGTTCTGAGAGTGCCTTGGATGCGAGAAGATCCAACCAGTCCATCCTCCAGGAAATAAAGCCCGACTGCTCACTGGAGGGAAGGATACTAGAGACAAAGTTGAAGTACTTTGGCCACATCATGAGGAGACAGGAAAGCCTAGAGAAGACAATTATGCTGGGGAAAGTGGAAGGTAAAAGGAAGAGGGGCTGACCAAGGGCAAGATGGATGGATGGCATCCTTGAAGTGACTGGATTGACCTTGAAGGAGCTGGGGGTGGTGACGGCTGACAGGGAGCTCTGGCGTGGGCTGGTCCATGAGGTCACGAGTCGGAGACGACTGAACTCTGGCACAAACAAGCTGGGTAGATGCGGGGAATGCCGTGGATGTAGCGTACCTGGATTTCAGTAAGGCCTTCGACAAGTTCCCCCATGACCTTCTGGCAAGGAAACTAGTCCAATGTGGGCTAGGCAAAACTACGGTGAGGTGGATCTGTAATTGGTTAAATGGACGAACCCAGAGGGTGCTCCCCAATGCTTCCTCTTCATCCTGGAAAGAAGTGAAGCGGAGTGCCGCAGGGTTCCGTCCTGGGCCCGGTCCTGTTCAACATCTTTATTAATGACTTAGATGAAGGGCTAGAAGGCATGATCATCAAGTTTGCAGACTACACCAAATTGGGAGGGATAGCCAATAGTCCAGAGGACAGGAGCAGAATTCAAAACGATCTTGACAGATTAGAGAGATGGGCCAAAACTAACAAAATGAAGTTCAACAGTGACAAATGCAAGATACTCCACTTTGGCAGAAAAAATGAAATGCAAAGATACAGAATGGGGACAATGCCTGGCTCGAGAGCAGTAGTGTGAAAAAGATCTTGGAGTCCTCGTGGACAACAAGTTAAACATGAGCCAACAATGTGATGTGGCAAAAAAAGCCAATGGGATTTTGGCCTGCATCATAGGAGCATCGTGTCTAGATCTAGGGAAGTCATGCTACCCCTCTATTCTGCTTTGGTTAGACCACACCTGGAATATTGTGTCCAATTCTGGGCACCACAATTCAAGAGAGATATTGACAAGCTGGAATGTGTCCAGAGGAGAGCGACTAAAATGAGAAAAGGTCTGGAGAACAAGCCCTATGAGGAGCGGCTTAAGGAGCTGGGCATGTTTAGCCTGAAGAAGAGAAGGCTGAGAGGAGATATGATAGCCATGTATAAATATGTGAGAGGAAGCCACAGGGAGGAGGGAGCAAGCTTGTTTTCTGCTTCCTTGGAGACTAGGACGCAGCACAATGGCTTCAAACTACAAGAGAGGAGATTCCATCTGAACATTAGGAAGAACTTCCTGACTGTGAGAGCCGTTCAGCAGTGGAACTCTCTGCCCCGGAGTGTGGTGGAGGCTCCTTCTTTGGAAGCTTTTAAATAGAGGCTGGATGGTCATCTGTCGGGGGTGATTTGAATGCAATATTCCTGCTTCTTGGCAGGGGGTTGGACTGGATGGCCCATGAGGTCTCTTCCAACTCTTTGATTCTATGATTCTATGATTCTAATAGTGAATTATGTGTACAGAAATATGGGTCAAAACAAAAGAGGAAGTAAGGCTAATTTGGTGGCAACAGTCTTGGACAGCAATGGCTTCCAAAGTGACCCATTTAAGGTGGAATTAGGTGTCAAACAGGGATGTGTTATTGCCCCAGTTTTATTCTCCATCTTCGCCGCTATGGTACTTCACCTTGTTGATGCGGAAGCATCCCACCGGAGTGGAAATCATCTATCGGACAGATGGCAAGCTATTTCACTTCAGCAGACTGGAAGCTAAAACCGAGGTTACAACAACATCTGTTATAGAACTCCAGTATGCTGATGACAACGTCGTCTGTGCACATTCAGAAGAAGACCTATACAAGCCACTCTAAAAGCCTTCGCAGAAGCATACGAGAAGCTCGGCCTGTCATTGAACATTGAGAAAACCAAAGTGCTCTTCCTCAGATGGCAAGCTATTTCACTTCAGCAGACTGGAAGCCAAAACCAAGGTTACAACAACATCTGTTATAGAACTCCAGTATGCTGTTGACAACGTCATCTGTGCACATTCAGAAGAAGACCTACAAGCCACTCTAAAAACCTTCGCAGAAGCATACAAGAAGCTCGGCCTGTCATTGAACATCGAGAAAACTAAAGTGCTCTTCTAGCAGTCACCAGCATCCCTCTCCAATGCCAGAAATACAGCTTAATGGTGTAACATTAGAAAATGTTGACCATTTCTGCTACCTTGGCAGCCACCTCTCCACAAAAGTCAACACTGACACTGAAATACAACACCACCTGAGCTCTGCGAGTGCAGCACTTTTCCGAATGAAGCAGAGAGTGTTTGAGGACCGGGACATCCGTAGGGATACCAAGGTGCTTGTTTATAAAGCTATTGTCCTCCCAACCCTGCTATATGCCTGACGTGGACTGTCTACAGACGTCACATGCAACTCCTGGAACGATTCCATCAGCGCTGCCTCCGAAAAATCCTGCAAATCTCTTGGGAAGACAAGTGGACAAACGTCAGTGCGCTGGAAGAAGCAAAGACCACCAGCATTGAAGCGATGATCCTTTGCCATCAACTCCGCTGGACTGGCCACGTTGTCCGGATACCCAACCACTGTCTCCCAAAGCAGTTGCTCTACTCCGAACTCAAGAACAGAAAACGGAATGTTGGAGGGCAGGAAAAGAGATTTAAAGATGGGCTCAAAGCCAACCTTAAAAACTTTGGCATAGACCCTGAGAACTGGGAAGCCCTGGCCCTTGACCGCTCCAGCTGGAGGTCAGCTGTGACCAGCAGTGCTGTACAATTTGAAGAGGCACAAATGGAGGGCAAAAGAGAAAAATGTGCCAAGAGGAAGGCGCGTCAAGCCAGCTCCAACCGGGAGTGCCTTTCACCTGGAAACCAATGCCCTCACTGCAGGAGAACATGCAGATCAAGAAGAGGGCTCCACAGTCGCCTACGGACCCACCGGCAGTACACCGATCTTGAAAAACAATCCTACTCGGACAATGAGGGATCATAAGTAAGCAAGCAAGCAAGCAAGCTATCATATTGCTGTTCTTGTCTCTCCCCCTTCTTGAAATCATTTTATTAGTGAATTATGTGTACAGAAATATGGGTTAAAAAAGAGGGAGTTAGGTTAACTTGATGGGGTAGGGATTGAGATGGGTAGGGGATATATCTAGAGATGTCGCCTTAAAGCAGTGTTTCTCAACCTTTCTAATGCCGCAACCCCTTAATACAGTTCCTCATGTTGTGGTGACCCCCTACCATAAAATTATTTTTGTTGCTACTTCATCATTGTAATTTTGCTACTGTTATAAATCGTAATCTAAATATCTGATATGCAGGATGTATTTTCATTCACTGGACCAAATTTGACACAAATACCCGATACATACAAATTTGAATACTAGTGGGGTTGGGGGGGTTGATTTTGTCATTTGGGAGTTGTAGTTGCTGGGATTTATTGTTCACATAAAATCAAAGAGCATTCTGAACTCCACCAACGATGGAATTGGACCAGACTTGTCACACAGAACTCCCATGACCAACAGAAAACACTGGAAGGCTTTGGTGGGCATTGACCTTGAGTTTTGAAGTTGTAGTTCACCTACATCCAAAGAGCACTGTGAACTCAAATAATTATGGGTCTAGGTCAAACTTGGCACAAACACTCAATATGCCCAAATATGAACACTGGTGGAGTTTCGGGGAATCAGACGTTGACATTTGGGAGAGGTATTTGCTGGGATTTATAGTTCACTTGCAATCAAAGAGCATTCTGAACCCAACCAATGATAGAATTGGGCCAAACTTCCCACATGGAACCCCCATGACCAACAGAAAATACTATGTTTTTTTTATGCTCTTTGGCGACCCCTCTGACACCTCCCCAGGAGTCCCAACTCCCAGGTTGTGAAACACTGCCTTAAAGACTACAACTAGAGGGAGATCTATAGAGGGGTTATGGGGGATTTATAAAGGGGAAGTTGGGGTGATAACTTGGGAATTGGGGGGGGGTGGTTGAAGAGTTTGACTTCCCATCTTCTCTAGTGTGGTCATCTTCCTTTGTTTCCCAATATTTTAACTTTGCTCTGCTTTCTCTTTTTCTTATCTCTCCTGTGGTGACATTGCTTGTTTGGTGAATCTTCTTACATATTCACTAACAAAGTGATGTTTTCTTGAGTCATGTATTCTTTAATTAGTGACCAGTCTATATTTTTCTCTTTTTTTCCTTGGTTAATGATCATTATCTGTGTTAAAATGTCCCTTTTCGTTATATCCATAATTTTCAAAATCCACTGCTTCTTTGTTGGTATTTTTTTCAATAGCATGCATAGTTCATTCTAGCCACTGTCACCAGGTAGTTGAAGAGTTTTTTCCATTTTAATTTCTTATTCCACATCTTTTCCCACTCCCCTAACTTAATTGGATGTCCAATATTTACCGCCCATTTGATCATGCATTCCTTTGTTTGTTCGGTTTCCGTGGATCATTCTAGTGGTTTTTATATATATTAGTTATTAATATATTCTCTGTCATCAAAACTTTGTCCCAAAATACTTTTTTTCTATGAATCCTATTTTCTTACACTTGATGTAATATTCTCTGATTTGTCTATATTGAAACTAGGAGATTTCTTTATCCAATTGGTTTATATCTTCTTGGGTTTTCAATATTGCCTCTCATTGTTTTTTCAGCAGGTCTCTATATGTTAACCT